GCCCTAGCCCCTAATAAACGTTCCTTTTGAGACAATGCCTGTTTCAAGAGTTCTGCTTTCTTCGGAGGCTGAGCTGAGGTGGGTCTTTACACTCCCCCCCCCTTTCCCAATTTACCCAATTCCTTCCTCAATATCATTCCATATAAGGAACCTCCTTCCTTTCTTCCTTGCCAGGGCCTCTAAATTTTCTGAGAAATACTTACCTAAGGAGAAACTATCCTACATGTGCTCTCTCTCTCTCTCTTTTTCTTCCAGAGCCATCTTTCTGTCTGGCTCTCCTCTTCAATAAATTGCAACCTTCTTTCTAAAGCAGTGGCCATGTTGTTTATTCGCTGCTTGGACTGAACCATGATGAAGACTTTTCTTCCAACAAGATAAACAAGCGAAGACGTAAATCTTTTATAATTGCAATTATCCAGTTTGAGTAACAGTTCACCTGGTAGATAAGGCTATACCCTTAGTGAGCAGGATGTTACAAATCATGCCACAGACAAGGAAGGGAAGATAAGACAGGAACAAAGGACGCTTTTTGATCTAATAATTGGAGGGTTTGGTCATTGTAATGGTTGCCTATCGGGTGGGCCTATCAATTGGGCTCACTTTTGGAAGGATGTGGCGTGATGCACGGGGCAGGGTATAAAAACCTATGCAAAAATTGATTCAGGTGTGGACTCTGGGATTAGCCATTACCAAGAGTTCCTCCAGCTTTTGCAAAAGCTTTAATAAAACTTGCTTTGTTTTCCAACACCCTTGAAGTTGAATGTTTATTCCTCACAGAAGTTACAACGGCTCTGAAAAAAAGTAACTTACACCCTTTTTCATGCTTACGACCGTGGCAGCATCCCCATGGTCATCAGATCAGTATTCAGATACTTAGCAACTGATTCAGATTTATGACGGTCGCAGCGTCCCAGGGTCACGTGATCCCCTTTTGCGACCTTCTGACAAGCAAATTCAATGGGAGAAGCCAGATGCACTTAACAACTGTGTTACTGATTTAACAACTTCAGCGATTTGCTGAACAAGTGTGACAAGAAAGGTCGTAAAGTGGGGCAAAACTCACTTAACAACTGCCTTGCTTAGCAACAGAAATTTTGGACTCAATTGTGGTCATAAATTGAGGACTGCCTATATATTGAGAGCCAGTTAGCAACAGTATGTACGTGTATGTATATGTATGTGTATGTGTATATGTGTGTATATAGCTATACAGGCAGTCCTCGACTTATGACCACAGTTGAGCCCAAAATTTCCATTGTTAAGTGAGACATTGGTTAAGTGAGCTTTGCCCCATTTTACAACCTTTCTTGCCAGAATTGTTAAGTTAATCACCGTAGTTGATAAGTTAGTAACGTAATAAGTGAATCTGGCTTCCCTATTGATTTTGCTTGTTAAAATTTTTCAAAAGGTGACCACATGACCTTGGGACACAGCAACAGTCATAAGTATGAGCCAGTTGCCCAGCATTCTGAATTTTGATCACGTGATCATGGGGATCCTGCAAAGGTCATAAGTGTGAAAAACGCTCATGTCACTTTTTTCAGAGAGAGAGAGAGAGAGAGAGAGAGAGAGAGAGAAGTGGTGGGATTCAAATATGTGAACAAGTGGCTCTCTGTGTGGGTGCTGCATCCAGTTTTGGCCACCAAAAAAGATGTTGAGACTCCAGAAAGAGTGCAGAGAAGACCAACAAAGATGATTAGGGGACTGGAGGCTAAAACATATAAGGAATGGCTGCTGGAATTGGGTATGTCTAGTTTAATGAAGAGAAGGACGAGGGGCGACATGATAGCAGTCTTCCAATATCTCAGAGGTTGCCCCAAAGAAGAGGGAGTCAAGCTATTCTCCAAAACACCTGAAGGCAGGACAAGAAACAATGGATGGAAACTAATCAAGGAGAGAAGCAACCTAGAACTAAGGAGAAACTTCCTGACAATTAGAACAATTAATCAGTGGAACAACCTGCCTCCAGAAATTGTGGATGCTGCAGCACTGGAAGTTTTTAAAAAGAGACTGGACAGCCATTTGTCTGAAATGGTATAGGGTTTCCTACCTGAGCAGGGGGTTGGACTAGATGACCTCCAAAGTCCCTTCCAACATTATTATTATCATTATCATCATTATTATCATTATTATTATATCTGAGAGGGAGCGACACGGAGAGAGGGAGAGAGAAAGAGAACAAGAGAAAAGGTGAATAAGAATTGAAAAAGAAACATAAAAGGTTAGGCACATTAATTCACGAATCATAAGCATTTCCTCTGAATCTTGCTTATTCAATTTTCTGATAATTCAGGGGGATTTATTAGCAGACAGAAGTGAATTTCCACTGCCTTCTTGTGATAAATTTCAGAATATGACTCAGTCTAGCCGGCAGTCCAGTTTCTCCTGTTGGCCTCCCATCCTGTCTGACACCCCCGCTTAGCTTTTTGAGATGGACCGAAATAATCTGTGTGATGCTACGTAGCCAGGTCCTTTTGTAAAAGGGGATAAAGCCCTGTTGACAAAGAACACATCACAGCTGATTGCTACCAAGAAGGGTTGGTTTAATCCTTCCAAAATCGCATGACAATTATTTTGACATGTGGTTTTTGACTATTGCACGGCTAATTTTAATTTGAATGCTTTTCTTTTAGTAACAATTGGAAACGGTGCTGTTCATTTTTAGCTCTCTCTAAAAGGTTTTTTTTTGGGGGGGGGGACACCAAAAGGGGTTGGGAATTGCATTCCCCCTTGCAAGGAATCAGTCTAAAGGATCCCCTGTGGGAGGTTCAGAAATGAGGATTAAAAAAACTAGCTGACAGTTTTTAACCACAAGAGCTTGCACATAATAACGACACTAACTGCTCATGCCTGTGCAGGTGCGTTCCCACAAAAGGGAACCTGTGAGCCAGGCAAACCTAACAGAGAAACTCAGGAAGGGCCAAAGCAAATAGGGAACTAGGCAAAGGGTGGGGAGAAATATAAACATGGGTGGAGGATTCACATGGGTGAGTTAGGCGTTCTGGCTAGGGTGTAAACCTTGTGATTCTTGTCAAATGGGGTTGCCAGGGAGGGACTTCGGCTTTGGGCCTAGTGAATAAAATCATGCTGAAATCTCTTTTTGGCTGTGCCAACTTGCTAGCCAGCCAGCCGCTCTTGCAAGAACGTATTTTTCAATAAACTGCTTGCTGTCAACTCTACCATGAGCCTGGCTGCAGCCATCTTTCTCTTCATTCTAGATTGCCACACCAGAGGGAGGGAGGGAGGGAGGGAGGGAGGGAGGGGGGCTTGCCCAGGTGCTTCACTAGTCATAATAATCTTCTGTCCCATGGGAACCAAGGTCATCTGCTGCTCCCGCAATCAGGGACTGGGCGCTGTATTAGAAAGCCCGCCAAATGAATATTATGATTATGATTAATAATAATAAAGTTGGAAGGGACCTTGGAGGTCATCTAGTCCAACCTCCCCACTCAGGCAGGAAACCTATGCTTCATCCCGAGCAAAGATCACTTGAGGTTTCTCACCTGGAACATAGATTCATAGGGCTGGGAGGGACCTCAGAGGTCCTCTAGTCCATCCCTCTGCTCAAAGCAGGAGACCTTACACCATCCCAGTCAAATGGTTGTCCAGTTTATTTTTGAAAACCTCCAGTGATGCAGCACTCACAACTCCAGGAGGGAAAACCATACCATTGACTAATTGTTCTCACTGTCAGACAATTTCTCCTTACTTCTAGGCTAGATCTCTCTTTAACAAGCTTCCACCCCCTTATTTCTTCTCCTGCCCTCTGGGCCTTTGGAGAAATAGTGGATCCCCTCTTCTCTGTGACAGCCCCTCAAGCACTGGAACAAAGAGAAATCGGATCGATCTGGGCTAACCCTAATTAACGCTATCTCGCTTTTGTACACTATTAACGCTTGTGCAGGGAAACGCCATTTACCTTAAACAAAAGGAGTCACGTACCTGGATGCAAATGAAATGATGACACCTAACGAATTGATGGCACATGATTATTGTTTAGCCCAGGGGTAGGCAACCTTGGCTCTTTTATGACTCGTGGACTTCAACTCCCAGAATTCCTGAGCCAGCATGGCTCAGCATGGAAACCTCTCCCTTTCCCCTCAGCGTGGCTGGCTCAGGAATTCTGGGAGTTGAAGTCCACGAGTCATTAAAAGAGCCAAGGTTGCCTACCCCTGGTTTAGCCATTTAAAAGCCAATCATACTACTCCCTTGTCCCCTTGCTGTCTCGTGCCGTTGCAATTGGGCAGGACCAGGGGTCTTCAAACTCGGTCCTTTTATGACTGGTGGGCTTCAACTCCCAGAATTCCTCAGCCAGCGTGCCTGGCTGAGGAATTCTGGGAGTTGAAGTCCATGAGTCATAAAAGGGCCCAATTTGAAGACCCCCTGCCTTACAGGAAGATAGTTATCACGTTCCTTCTCTAATCTTTCTCTTCCATAGGCTGGACCTACTTAGCTTCCTCAACCTTTCATCATAGGATTTATTCGCTCCTCTCTGCAGGCTTTCCAGGGTCTCAGCATCTTTTTTGTACTCCTGGTGAGCAGAATTGTGCCCAGTGTGCCAGGTATGGCCTCACTTCTACAGGATAAAGCGGTGCTGTGGCTTCTCCTGACCTTGTTGTTAGCTCTTTGTTGATGCAGCCCAGGACTGCCCTGGCTTTTTTTGGCAGCTCCACCGGATCCCCGGCTGCGCGGGACTCTGCGGGGTCTCCCCTCCCCCTCGTCTGCGCCCCTCCCCCCCCAGGGTCAGAGAACACTCCCGCTTTTCCCAACCCCCCCTCCCCATTTCTGCCCCTCTCCCCCCCCCAAGAGGCGGAATGCCTGGAAGGGGATTTCCTGATGGAACTTTCGCTTTCCTTTCGCAGCCTGTCCGACCGGTTGCGCCTGGAGGTCTGCCTAGCAACAATGACGACACGGTCGTACCTTTTTTTTCTACTGGTTGAGATTGGCCAATCGCCAGCTTTCGCTCTGCTTTGTGGCGTTGTTGATCGCGCCAAGCGCGTTTTCCCTCTGCCTGCGACCTCAGGAGAGCGGAGCGCAGGTTGAGGATCGCGGCCAGGATGGCTCTGCGCTCTCTGTCTCTGCCGCTCCTGGTGTTGGTGGGGGTCGCCCTGCGGGAGAGCTGCCTCGGTGAGTCCCTTTGGGGGCGTCGCGGGTTCCCCCCCCCTTTTTTTTTCTGCTGGTGGGAATCCATCCAGGGAATATCTCTCTCTGTCTCTCTCTCCCTTCTTCCCCCAAAAGATTATTCCCAGGGAGAGAATTCTGATTCGGTCCTCTTTCTAGTCCGTTCCCCCTCCCCCTCGGGCCACTCTGAGAAGGGATCCCAAAGCGTGGAAGGGACTCTGCTGCTGCCTCCCCCCCCCGCAGGAGAACCCCTTTGCGGACAGGACAAGGGGGGCCCCTCCAGATCTCAGTCAAGTCTACCTGGGCGCCCCCGAGCGCAGTTCTTTCCCTCCCCCGAAGTGGAGGTTGTGGGAAAGCGGCGTTTGCACGGGATCAGGTCAGTTCCCAAACTTCCTGGCTGCCTTCGCACAACCCCTCCGCCTGGCTCCTCTTTCCTGCCTTTGGCGGGGCTCGGGGGCTCTTTGGGGCTTCTGGTGCTGGGAGGAGCCGGACTGGGTTCCGTGTATTGGCCGAGGCGGAGACTGGTGCAATGGAGCGGTCGGGGTAAGGCTGCCGTGTGAATGCAGCAGGGCAAGAGTGTACAGAGAAGCGCTCCTTGAATGATCTTCCTAAAGATCCCTCCTTCTTATAATAATAATAATAAAGTTGGAAGGGACCTCGGAGGTCATCTAGTCCAACCTCCTGCTCAGGCAGGAAACCCTATACCATTTCGGACAAATGGCTGTCCAGTTTCTTCTTTAAAACTTCCAGTGTTGGAGCATTCACCGCTTCTGGAGGCAGGTTGTTCCACTGGTTAATTGTTCTAACTGTCAGGAAGTTTCTCCTTAGTTCTAAGTTGCTTCTCTCCTTGATCAGTTTCCACCCGTTGCTTCTTGTCCTGCCTTCAGGCGCTTTGGAAAATAGCCTGACTCCCTCTTCTTTGTGGCAGCCCTTGATTGTCACTTTCTCCTCGATCTTGCTCCCCCCACCCAGCCCCCCTTCCTAAACCCCAGTATTATCCCCTGGGCTTTTTTTCTAGGACAGGCAGGATTCCTCCTTCCATTTCCAGAAGCCACCAACCTGGGACAGTTTGCACAATTAAAAATATTTAAAATTTATTATTCTTTGTAATTAGAAGGGTTGTTGGGGTGTTCCTAGCTGTTTGTTCAGAGAAGCTATCAATGAAGTTTCTTAGCACGGGAGAGTTTGCAGAATCAGAAATATTTAAAGTTTACTCTTATTCTTTAGTCATCAGATCGGAGGTCTTAGGGTGTCCCTAGTTGTTCCTCAGAGAAACTCTCAATGCAGCAGCTTTTCCAAAGGCATTTCCAAAACTGTCAGGATCTGAAGGATCAGAGAGTCTGGGCTGGAGGCAGGAGGAGAGAAGCCCCTCTGGATGGAGAGCCTGAAATGAAGGGCTTGCTTGGACACAGACAGGCCCAAACTGACCAGCCCTTCCTGACCTAAGGAGGATTTGTGATTGTGAGGACACCCAACCTGCATTACATTCATACGTTTCTCCTCTCAGGCAGACTTCAGACTCCCTCACTGCTCAGCCCCACGAGGGGAAGAAGCGGGTTCAGGATCACGGAGGGTCCAATCCCCCCTCCTTCTGTCGGAGAAAAGCCCTGATTCCTTTGGATCCTGAAATCTCCCCAGAGCAGGAAGTGGATCTGGGGATCCCTCTCCCCAAAAGCTCTGAGAAGCATCTGTGGTTGTGGGGAGGAGCAGGAAGAAGGAGGCCGAGGGAAGGGCTGGGAGACCAGACTGGAGGGAGTGGGCAGTGGGACTATTTATTTATCTGGGCTTTGGAGGTCCTGCCTTTTTCTGTGCAGACCCAGATTGTGCCCAAACAAGTGCTGTGAATGTTCCTGAAAATCTTTGGTGCCCTGAAAGAATTTCTGATCTGAAGATTTTTCAGAACGGACCCCAACAGTCTTCTAGCTTAACTGATTTCCCAGGAGTATCTTTTTTTTTTTTTTATTCTTTTAACCCACGTACAGCCTGTTGTTCTCCTGTTCATTGGGTAGCCCTGGAGTCTCTTCCGTGTTTGTATTTTGACAATGAAAACTAAATAGTGACTTAATGTAATTTTTTTTATCATTGTTACTAAAATTTGGCATAGTTTATGTCTTGTGACATAGTTTATGTCTTATGATTTCAGGAAGGGCTGAAAAAACTTTGATGCTCCTCAGTCAGGAGTTTGCATTGTAGTGTAAGGTTATTTCAAGTGTCCTCTGGCATAAAAAAAATCTGAGACTCTATATCAGGGCTTTTCAACCTTTTCACCCATTGTACCACTTTTAGGATATGGCAATATCCAAGTACCACCAGTCGCCTAGCAAGGTGTCAAAAATATGATGACCAAAAAAAAAAAAAAGGAAAAAAGTGATAAAGTACAGGTAGCCCTCGACTTACAACAGTTCGCTTAGTGACTGTTCAAAGTTACAATGGCACTGAAAAAAGTGCCCCCCCCAAGCCACAGCCGAGCAAGACACCTGCCTGCCTACCCGGGTTTTCATTGTTGTGAGTATTTCTGTTGAGGATTGGCAGTGGGGGTGGGGTGGGGGGTGTTTGGTTTTTATCCCCCCCCCGTCTGCTTGGTGGTTGCAGCAGGTTTTGGTCACTTCACATGACCCTGGGACACTGTGACCGTCATAAATATGAATCAGTTGCCAAGCATCTGAATGTAAATCACAAGACCCTGGAGATGCTGCAACATTCCAGCTGATCGGCGCTTCTTCTGGGCTCAGCAGAAGCACCAGGATCAGCGCTGAGCTCCAGCTGGAGCCTGGAGCTGATCCTGGCGCTTCCGCTGAGCCCTGATAGCCCTGCAGCTCCAGCCATCAGGCTGTCTAGATTTGCCATAGCTTTCCTCCCCAGGAGCAAGCATCTTTTAATTTCTTGGCTGCAGTCCCCATCTGAGGTGATCTTGGAACTTCATTGGTTACCAAGTAACAAATTAAAAGGGAGGAATGAAGGGAATTTAGAGAAATCAAAGCAAAGCTGTTTTGCTTCTGTATACTATGCTTGTGCAGAAACCTCCATTAGCCCAAGGCGAGAAGAGCACGTACAGAGAGATAAGAGAAAGTGACACAGGTGTGGTAGTGTTGAAAGTTGATTGGTTAAAATAACACTATAAAAGAAAGTTTTGTGAAAACAAGGGGTGTGGCTTTCCTTTTTCATGCTGCTGCCTGCATGTGGAGGAAATACACCCAGCTGCTTCTCTAAGCTGATTAAAGAGCTGTTTGTGGAAGCCTCCATCTGAGTTTCTTGATTGGATCATATAGAGCAGGGGTCTTCAAACTCGGCCCTTTTATGACTCATGGACTTCAACTCCCAGAATTCCTCAGCCAGGCATGTCCCCCCCCCCATAATTATATTTAGAGATGAAGCAATTCTTTTGGCCAGATCAATAAAAAGGTTCTTTGCTACCGAGGGAATCTCAATGGTGGTTTCCAATTCATCGTAAAAAGAGTGAAAAACTTGAAAATGTTTCTGGGACGGTGGTATAATAGTGTCAACTTGAACATATATCTGCGTACGGGGATCTGCTCTGGTTCCATTGATAGCTAGTCCAGTGGTTCTCAACCTGTGGGTCGGGACCCCATTTGGGGTTGATCGACCATTTCATGGGGGTCGCCAAGCAAGGCTGTCTGCCATTTTTTTGTCCGCCATTTTTTTGTCTGCCATTTTTTCCCCTTTTCCGGCGGATGCCTTACCTCCCTTGGGCTGGGCCAGCTGGTGGTCGGCCTGCTCCGTCTCTGCCGCTTGCCAGCTACGCCTCGGCTGGCGCAGGGGGCGGAACCACGCATGCACGGCGCTCCCGGGCAGGGAAAGTCCTCGACTTACGACCGGTTGGGTAGTCCTCGACTTACGACCGGTTTAGTCCTCGACTTACGACCGGTTTAGTCCTCGACTTACGACCGGTTGGGGTCGCGGCATTAAAAAGGTTGAGAACCACTGAGCTAGTCCAAATGATGCTGAGAAGTCTGCTGGTCTGGTTATCTCGAAGCACACGGGTTGCAGGAATCACCATTGCACTGGGAAGTACTGATTCCTTTAATTACATTGAACTTTTCTTTGATTGTGCCAGATTGGGTTACCCCGGTATACCACTTTACAGTGTTCCAGCTCAGACACGGTGGAAGACTCTAGCCATGGTAGGATGTACAGACATATTTGGTGTTAAACGGGTAGGCCTGTCTCTGCCCTAGCGCTCCACACTAAGTTGATTATAGCCAATAGCTTTACATACATCAAAGCAGACACTGGCACTACCCATAAGTCTCTTGTCATTCTTTTGCAAGAGGTATTGTCTGTGTGTCCTTCCATATGCCCAGATTTGAAGTTGTTGGTAGGGCTTTACTATATTGACAGGATCATAACAAGTGACCCTATCCCCCGTTTTGCAAGTGGAATACGTAGTTTTGTTATTATTATTATTATTATTATTATTAATTGCATTTATATCCCGCCCTTCTCCTTTCGGACTCAGGGCGGCTGACAGATTAGATAAAAAGCTAACATAAATACATATTACACCTAATTAAAAATTTAATTAAAACGAAATATTTGAAAGTGTCCAATTAAAAGTAATTAAAACCCCTATAAAATCCCCTAGGCCAGTCC